CTTCCTTCCTTCCTTCCTTCCTTCCTTCCTTCCTTCCTTCCTTCCTTCCTTCCTTCCTTCCTTCCTTCCTTCCTTCCTCATGATGTTGCAATTCTGAGTTAACTAACTGGTTAATACAGTCAAATGGAATTTAACATACCTGGTTTTGGTAGTTTTTTCTACTACATGAGAGCTGTTGCAGTGTCTAGGTGGGAGAAAACTATATTATTAGGCATCTCAGCCTAATGTTAACTTTTTAAAAAGTTGTCTTGCCATAATGTAGACCTTGGTTACATTTCTGTAGAAAAAAATGTTGTAACAGATACAGAGATGAAAGGAAGAACTGGAAAGGAACCAGAAAGAAGAGATTCAAAAGTTGCATTTCAATGGTTTTGGATCAGAAGTTTGGGATTTGATTTGACCTGGGATGGACCAGCTTTCATTTTAGTGGATTTCAGGAGCCTTCTTTCCCCCAAGAGCTATTTCAGTCAGTTCTTATGTGTTTCTGGGAACTTTTGCAGCAGCAGCAACAGCAGCTAGAAATGACAGGAACTGCAAGAAATATAGTCCCCATGGTTTATAGAATTCCAGCAACTGCTGCATGCTTGTGCTGCATGCTATGATGTCCAGGTATGCGGAGTGCCATAAGAATTGAATTGATCCTGTTTTTTAGCATCCAAAGATAGTGCGGGCACATCCAAATTACTGCATACATACTTTATAACTATTAGCATGTCTAAATACTAAGGTAAATGTTTGCAGTATTAAACACTTACACGTTTCCCGTATCAAAAGAATGACGCATGGAGCCTGCATTCCTTCTCTCACTGCACTCAGTCTGTTTCAGAACATGATGGCATAGCAGAAAGGACCCACTTACTCTAAAACTAAAAACTATTCTATTTCAGATTAACAATCTCTTTTGCTTTATTGTTCTTAGACCAGGGAAGAGTTCTTTGGCTTTTTCCCATTATTGATTATTGCAGTTATTGAAGATTATTTATTTACACAGATTTTAAAAATGCCCAAACAACTTGGGTGCTTTACACTATAAAAAAGTTACAACAATAAAATGAAAGAAGAAAGAGATGTGTGTCCATAACAAAGAACCACACAAAACAAAACCAAATCTTACAGGGGCTCATCACCATCCTACTCCAAGGCCTGTAAAAATAACCAGATTTTCAATGCCTTCTGGAACATCATCAGGGTGGGGGCCATATGGAGGGTGATACTGTAGAGGGTGGGTACAGTAACAGAGAAGATGTTCTTCATCCCACTAGATCACATTGTTTAATTGAGACCAGAAGCACAATAATTTCCTGAATGGGCAGAAATTATTGGAGATAGCTAGTCCTTCAAGTAACCAGGCCCTATGTCATGAAGAGCTTTATAGGTGATAACCAACACCTTGAATTGTACCCAGAAGCTAATCAGCTCATGGAATAGTGCTGTCACATGGGCATATCATTGTAGCTTATGAGTGGTTTTCAAGGGCAGTCCCATGTAGACCTCATTGCAATAGTCCATTCTTGAGATGATTAGGGCATGACTGCCTGCCCAAAGACCCTCCTGATAAGGGAAAGGTGCAAATACCACACTAGATGGATCTGTGCAAAGGCCCTCATGGCCATAGCTGCTATCTGCTCTTCAAGCAGGAGAACTGAGTCCAAGATGACCCCCAGATTGTGCACTAGTCTTGAATGGAGAAGTGCAGCTCCATCCAAGACTAAAGATGGAGACCCGTAGGAGGCCCCAGATATTCATAGCTCCTTGGTCTTGTCAGGATTGAGTCTAAGTTTATTCCTCCCCATCCAGGCCTGCAAAGTCTCAAGACACTGGGACAGGACATCAGCATCACTTGCATGGCCCAGAGTCAAGATATATAATTGGATATCATCTGCATAATGATAATACTGGACCCTGAATCAATGGATGACCTAACCCATAGTTTCATGTAAAAGTGGAATAGGAGGAGGGAAAGTGTTGAGCCCCATGGCGCCCCACAAAAGAGGGGCCATGGATTTGATCTCCTCCATCAACACAGACTCACCTCAGAGAAAGGAGAACCACCACAACATGGTGTCCTTCACTCCCAATTCCTTCAGCCTTTACAGGCAGATGATACTGAAATCTGCTGAGAGGTCAAGGAGCACAAGGATGGATGCACCACCCCCATCTTGGCTCCACTAAAGGTCATTGTCAAGTGCAACCAATGCCATCTCAATACTTTATCCTGTATTTCAGGTTTATCATAAAACCTGCCTAAAACAGTTCCAGATAATCTATTTCTTCCAGGGCTTTCTGGAGCTGTCATCTGACTACCTTCTTAACAGCCTTCCCTAAAAAGATTAAAATTGTCCAGGACCATTGGGTCCAGTAATGGCTTCTTGAAGAGAGGGTGCACCCCCGCCTCCGTCAGAGCTGAAAGAACCACCCCCTTTCTCAAAGAGGAAGCTGACACCACCATGGTTTCTCTTTGTGACAAGAAACTCAAAAAACCCTTGCAATGTAAACTCTAAAGTAGGCTTAACCTAGTTTTAAAAAATGAAAACCTATAGGCCTGTCCATGTCAGGCTCAGCCCAAGAATGATGATGAAACAGTCCAGTCCAGTTCCTTTATTTGCTTATACCCTCTAGACAGAAATCTCACCAGGCTAACTCTACACTACAGCAACTAGTGGATATACCCCATGAGACTCTAGGGAGGGGCTACTCTAAACCTTTTCTTCTTCTCACGGTCTTGCTGTGGACTGAGAAAGTGCTTGCCTTGTCCCCCCTTCTGGAATGCATTACAGCCCTCCTGATAGCCTTGATCTCCCATACCAGTCTCCTCTTCACAGATACCTTCCATTACGGTCCATCCCCCAAACCTCAGGAGAATATTCTTGCCCCAATGTTTGTAAAATCATGATGGCTATTGCAAGCGTGCTACAGTAGCCTTTCCCAACCTGCTCTTCCAAAGGGCTTCAGCTGCCTTAAGATGTGTTCCCTACAATTCCCAGAATTCTGAGCAATTGCCACACTGTGGGGAATTCTGGAACAGAAGTCTGCATACCTGGGGGGACATGCAAGTTAGAGTAGACTGTGCTATCATGTCCAAGAATCCTATGTGGTACCATAATTCCCCCCATTGTGGCCTGTGCAGATCCCAGTCACAACCAGGTTGCTTATTCTTGGCTTATTTTTTTAATTAAACCATATTACTTTAACTAGCACAGTGATCCTTCACATTAATGGAATAGTGAGGGGCAAAGGGTTCCATTACAGCCAAATTCTGTTAAACGGCAAATGGACCAAAATATACACATACTCACACACAAGGAATGTGAGTCACAGCCAACCAAGGATCAAGGGCATCTGAGTGCCAGCTTGTAACTGGAGTCAACTCCAGTGACTACAACATGGTGGACTGGTAAGCCTAGGATGACCTGCAGTTGAAAGGGCATAAGGAAGTTCCAGATTATAGCAGGATGCAGCAAAGCCAGGATGATTGTCCAGCTTTATGGATGGGGTGATCCAGGAATCAGCAGAACTTGTACAGGCAGCAAGAAGAATAGCAGAGGCAACCAGAGGATTAGGCCCTAATTATTAATAATAATCACAGCTTAACGTTCAGATGTGCCACTCAATTGTGCTTAATAAAAAAATGGGAGCAAAAAATTCTAATATCTTCTCTTGAACTAAGCTGGAGGGGAAAAGTGCACCGTGCTGAGATGTATTGTGACATTTGAATATAATCACCTTTACAATAACATATTAACAGTGTCATTATTTCTGACTTTTAATATGCCTGGGAAAGATAAAGTCTTGGATTCTTGCCTTGTACTACCAATAATTGTAATAATTTTTAAAAATATGGGCCAAAAAGGTTTGAGGTAGAATTAACATGCCAAAGTTTGTAAATTAATTAATTTTTTAATGTTGAATGGCAGTCTGTAAGTTTTACTTGTAGCCAGAAAATGTATTCTAAGCAGAAAAATGCTTTTTCTTCTTTGCTCTGCTTTGCCAGAGGCCGTGCTAATATAAATCAAAAACAGGGTTATTTCTAATTTGCCTGGTTTTATTCATAACAAAAGTGAAACAAACTGACATCACCAGTGAACTGTGCAATAAAGAAGACACCTTCTCAAATGACAGGAAGTAGATGTTTTTGGAGGAAAATTCCATTTTCAATCAGTATTTACAATCCCTGTCTGGACTGAAGTGGCATAAAAGCCTAAATGCACACATAGAAGATACACATGATAGCACACACAAACACCCACACATACTGAGCAGCAGAAATGATTGTGCTGGCATCTTTAGAGCTCCCTTCCTTAATACTGACTATTGTTTATTCCTTCCTGTGGATATTGTCAACTCAATGATCCACATTTCACACTAGCTTATAGCATAAGATGAAATCTGTCCTTCAGGTTTTTAAGAATGTATTTTTCAGTTTCTTTCCATTCTTCAACAGACAGCCACCAAACAGCTGGCAGAGCTGCTCCTCCACTCCCTGAGTGAAGATTGTTACTGGAGTCCCTTATCTGATCCTCTTCCTGAGTTCATGAAGAAAGAGGATAACACTTACATCTGTGCCACTTTACGTCGAAGACTACAGCTACACGCTGGAGATAAGTACGGACCCAGGATCTTACAGAATTTGTAAAACATTCTAATCACTGAACGGGAAGAGAGCTATTGGATTATAGGTCTCTGGTAATACAGTTTCAGAATCGGATAATACAGTTTCAGGGAAAAAAACTCATCTCTATATCTGGAGTTTTATATCAATTTAATACTCACCCTTTTTGGGTAGCTATTAATTGCATTGCAGTGCATTGAACAAAGACTAAATAAGTAAAGCAGCATATAGTGAAATATATAACCACACAGAATAACACCAGAAGTTGAAGTAACTATAAAATTTGCTGGCCAGATTTTTTAAAAATGGCCTTTAAGAGTCCCTTACATTAACACATCAAGTGAACAGGGAAGGCAAATGGGAGTTTGCCAGTGGCATTCGATAGAGGATCCCCTAAAATGGATGACTCAGCCACATTAATAGAGATAATGCCACATGTATCTTGCTGGAAATATGAGGAGGTCAAGTCAGACAAGGTCCTGGAACTCATCAGCCGACCAGCTCTTTCTGAAGGATCAACCCTCAGTTGCAAGCTTCTCATAGGCGGATATATGTGCATGCAATCTGGCCCCAAATCCTTTACATGCAATATGATCAGAACACCCAGGAACTAAATTGCTTCATGAATAGAGAGTGTTTGACCAATCCTCTACTCTCCCTTATCAGAGATGAGTTATCTCCTCTATAGCTTTTAGTCATTCCAGTCTGAAGAAACTATTATATAACAAATTAATCATGCATGAGACGTTTCACATTACTAATCCTGTGGTGCTATTAACAAGAGTCTCCCATGAGCATAATTCTTAATGTTGCTTATATTTTGAAAGCATGTTTGTCTTTCAGCATCTATAGCCCCCATGACAACGTTGAAGAGGCTCTCCTCCTCCTCCTGATCAGCGAATCCATGGTAAGCAAAATAAGAATAGCTATAAAGAATGATAGCAATTAAGGCATTTCATAATAATCATCATTATGCTTTTATGACAGGAATTCTGTCTTTTCTAAGCTACAAATTCAGTTCATGTCCACAAAAGCATATCTATCGACTGAAAATAAAACAATCACCTCTGATGCAGAGGAAATGACTGTTTTTTCTGAAGCATCACTGAATGGTGTCCGATTTTAAGGAAGCATTCAACGAATTGCCTGAAAAGTGTAACAGAAAATATGACTCACTCTTAATCTGGTGAACCTTTCTTAGTGTCGCATGGGGACAGTACAATTTTTTTCCATCTCCATCCCAAAATAGGCTTAATGAGAAAGCAGTATGTTTTTTAAAAAAAACTTTTGAATCTGCTGAACATTTTCTTGGTGTTGGTGGATTTATGGATGATACATCTCTGGAGAAGGAAGACAGACTTTGTAATTCTTTTCTAAAAATTAAATAAGCAAAATAAACAGCAGGAGATTATACCACAGAACTGGCTTTATGGTGACCATACAGGGAATTCCCCAAGAGTTCATTCCCCAATGCTAAAATCCTAAACATAGTTACATGAGAATTTGTTTTATTTAAGTCAGAGGCTGAACAAACTGAAGTGGTGCTTTAGGCAGCTGATTGTGGGTGTTGTGAAAAGATAGCTACTTGTTAGTCATTTGTAGTGCAATCCTAAGATTTATTCAGAGCACTTCCAACAATTCAGCACTCCAATACTTCTAATGCCCTGTTTGTTGTAGCCTGGCAGGTAAGAACTGAGAACTGAGAGGTGCTTACATCTTTTTGCCTTTTCTATTAGAACAAATAAATAAAAAGTATTCCATTGTATGCAATATAAGGGGTTGGGAGTAGGCCCATTCTGAGCTGAAACTCTTCAATCTTGCCTTGGCCTGATGTATTTGGAGGCTTTCCAAGATCAAGGTTGCCTGATTTCAGACAGTGTCAATCATGAAGCTGGCAGCAAGAGGGGAGATCTCCTCATCTGGCATTGGAGCCTTATCTCTGAGCTTGGAGGACAAAATCAAGGCATCATAAAGTCCATGAGATGCTGTCTCAGGGACCCTGCTATTACCATTTGTAGTGGCAGAGGGAAGGATAGTGGCTTGTGCACTCCAGTATGAAAATGACTGGCCTTGGATGTGAGGGGGAACTGCAATTTGCTGTCCTGCCTTGGACACTTTTGGCTAAGGATCATGTTTATTTTGAATTAAATAATTATCAATTATACAATTGTATATATACAATTATTATACATGTATTATATTGTACAAAGCTTGCAGTAGAGCAGTTTTTATATGTGTCCAAAATATATGCAAATGTGAATTATTCAGGCTTACGTGGAGCAATTGTGTTGGACAGGTACATCTTCAGGTGACTGAGAATCAAAATAGATGGGACTGACATATTTTCCTTTGATTACAAGCAGTTTTTTGGTGGTCCAATGGGGTAGAGAAATCAAGGATACATCATGATCCGGAGGTGGTTTTACTGGGAGGTCATTTACTAAACCTAAATCACTCCATTTCTACATTTCCTATCAGCTATTGAGGGAAGATGGGAGCAGGGGTGTCCTCTGGGTATGTATCAGTGTACTGCTACTGTATTGATATATACTCTGTAGATACATTGATTGATAAACCACACATAAAAACAGGCAGCGATTTGATTGCACCATCATGGCTGCCATCTTGATATTTTTTATCACACCCTGCAGACACTCCTGGATTGGAGTATAAGCATATTTCTATTCTTGTCCCCTCCATGATTCATTGCTAACAGCAACTTAAAAGGATGATTTCACTTGGGAAACTATACAATGAGAAATTGGTAACTCATCCACACATGCAATGACTCCCTCACAAACTGTTTCTTTCTCTACAGCAACTATGAATGACAACCAGAGATGGGGGGGGGGGGATTGGCTCTGCTTTTAGCCTCCCATGTTATTTCTCCTT